TCTTTATGTGTTGATGGCCAATTAAGGAGATGAAAAAGATCCTATTATTTTCCTTTTTTGTTTGTCACACACGTTGGCTGGCATATTGTCCATGTTGTGATATGTTTTTATCATAATAATGTTATGTAGTATGACCAATTAAGAGAAAAGTGGAGCATTTGTCTCACATAGGATTCTTCCTTATTCTTTTCATCAGCACGTGACTAGCACAAGTAAGGGTTGACCTACTTTGCATTCAAACCGACAGAAGAGAGGCAAGTCCATCTTTAATCCAATTTTTCTAGAGCTCCAACCGCCGACACTCTAGCAGCAGAGGAAGAGATTTCAATCGAGCAAAGATCAAAGAAATATGGAGAATCAATCTCTTAATTCCATCTTCAAGTCAGGGGTCTTCACCAAAAGTATAAATACGAGAATTTGGAAACTGAGTTGGTTCAGTTGGTGTGGGGATTTGATCACTTTCAGAATTAGAGGACGCCCATTTGGGAAAAAATACGATTATCTTTTCGAAACAACCAGGGAATCGAAGAGGGAAATATGAAGGCTATACCTGCAGCAATTAAACCCAAGAGCCACAAGGTAATAAATCGGTGATTAAGTCTTTGTCGGTTATAGAGAAGGAAAGAAGGATGAAGAAGAGGGAAGACAAAGAAACAAAAAGGAACGGCTGAGAGTTTTGTTTTGGTATTAAGGTATCAGTAATGGGGCTAAACATTAATGAGGATTAAAAAAGGAAGTACACGAAGAAGCAATCATATCATTCAAGGAGAAAAAGGAGTGGCTGCTTGGTATTAATTTGGCAATATTAAGCAGATCATAAAGAAGAGGAAAAAAAAACTAGGCAGCGGCAAAGCAGGAGATTTTCAGGCTTTTCTAAACTTATTTTTCTTTTAATTTTATGAATTCAATAATCTTTCCGATTATGTTCCAAAACTAATTTATTTTTGCTAGGGCTACGATGTAGCCTAACTATGAATTCTTAATTTCTCAGTTTAATTATTTATGAATTTTCATTCAAGTTGAGTATCATTTTGATGTGCTTATGAGCTTGATTTAATCTTGGTGATTGGCCACCACTTTGGTTTGAGTTGAGTGTATTTGATGCAAGTTAACACAGATGTCATGTTGTTAATTAGGTTTTAGCGCCTTGCAAATGGTACCGTGAATTCCTTGATGTAGATGTCATACACTAGGTTTCATGCGGTCTCTTAAGTAGTTCTCAAATCGTTAATGAACTTGTGTGTGTTTAGTAATCTAGATGTCATAGATTGTAAGTACATATGAGTATACATAGTAATCTAGATGCCATGGATACTATATGAATTAGAGAAACTAGACCGTCAATTTGGATGATTACTCATTAATAATTAATTGTAGGAATTGAGTTGGATTGGTTATGGTGAATCGGATGCTCTAGTGTCTTTCACAACTGATTTATAATTTTCTTTGCAAGTGGTTCATCATTTTCCATTACTTGTTAATTTCATTTTAATTTTTATTAATTTAGAAGCTCTACTCCTAAATCTTTCCCAATCATTAATCGTACAATTTCAATTCAAATGCAATACAAATTAAGTTAAATAGGTAAAATTATTTCAATCTTAGTTGGAACGATCTTGTGCTTGCCTACTATACTACTTAACGATTTGTACACTGGCGAGCAATTCCGAAGAATTGTCAAAAAACACGCAAATTTAAAATTGCAACTTAATCAATTATATAATCGATTTGTTACCTAGAGAAGAACATGTGTTTCTAAGCTATGATTCTTTGTGTTCTTCAAATGGAAATAATGAAAATTTAGAAACATTGTATCCTGTTGAATTTTTGAATAAGTTCGATTTCAATGGTTTACCTACACATAACCTAATGTTGAAAATAGGAATGCCAATTATGATGTTACGAAATTTAAATCAGTCTTTAGGTTTGTGAAATGGAACTAGATTAGTGGTTACTCAATTATTCAACCAAATTATTGAAGCTAAAATACTTGCTGGAAACAATATTGGTCACAAAGTATTCATTTCGAGAATCACTCTAACAGCAACAGAAAATAAGTGGCCTCTTATTTTTAAAATACGTCAATTCCCTGTTAGACCATGTTATGCAATGACCATCAACAAAAGTCAAGGGCAATCTTTGAAATAAGTTGGTTTATATCTTCCTAAACCTGTTTTCACCCTTGGTCAATTATATGTATCATTATCTAGAGTTACATCAAAAGAATGTCTTAAGATTTTAATTCCAGATGGAGACAATAATGTAAACAACTATACTGCAAACAAAGTGTTTAAGGATGTATTGCAAAATTTATGAGCAGACTGTTTATTTCTTGCAACTATACTGAATATTTTTCACTTATCATTGACTTTCTTCCATTGCTTTCTTTCTTTTGCAGATGTCGTATGGACACTTAAGAAGACATATCACATTCACACTTTCCAAAACAATTGAGGTTGAGATCAAACAAATGAAATATTGGTTTAAAAAGTTATGTTGCAATGTTGCTTTCCTTTTTACTAAAACCAATCTAATACCATATTTACCTATTCTTGCCTTCTACTTTTTTTCTTTTGCATGTTTTGTCTACATTTGGTTTATAGCATATTACACACACGCTTTAAATGTTTACATAAATTTAACACCTTTAACTTACACATTAATAAATACATGTCAACACCCCAGCCCTACAACAAAAAAATCACCTTACCAGGTTATTTGCCATGTGTATCATACTTTATACAACATGTGGATTAAAAGATTGTTTATGGTCGAAAACCTTATATCAATCTACTTATTTGCGATGCTAATCACCTTGCCAGGTTATTTGCCAAGCTCATCGCCTGTTCCGTTCAAACGATATATCAAAATACTAAAAAATTTATGCCCTTTTTTTCATGACTATTTTATGCTTATCTGCACTAATGTTTCTTTTCAGGGGAATTGACTGTTGCAAATGTATATGCATACTATCTTCGTTTTATATGGTCAAAATGTATGTCCAATTACCTATCACCCTGCCAATCAGTTAACCTAGACATTCAAGGGCATTGGTGAACACACTATCACAACAAATACACCCATTCCACATAGCTTAATAAAACCACAGAACACTTTAGTAATAGAGCAATTGTTGCATTTTTATTGAAACATCTCATTATCAGTTAGATAAATTTCACAATTCCACTATTATTATCTTGTTCTTCAATTCAATAAACCATGTGAAAATAGTATATATTTAGTTTCAACAACTGCATACATGCTTTTGGATGTTCATCTTAAATCCATCACTTATTAGCCATGCAATTTGACATGTATCCAAAACAGGTAAAACGAAGCAAATGTTTGTGTATAAATTGGTTACAATCAATTCCTCTGAAGAGGAAAAATGGAAATGATGATTGTTTATCTACATCGAATAAGTTTTGTCTGCTCCATCTTTCAACACTCTATGTCCCCATTTTTTCAACAACATTAATTTAAATTGTCCTGCACATGTTCAACTTACACTAAACTTATTAGCACCGCTTTGGGTACTTTCGTAAATAAAAATAATCATATCTCTCTTTCTTTTAAAGTTTGCTCTGATTAAAACTTGACACAATGTCAAAACAAGGAGACAAGATTATGAGTGTTTTCTGTCTTTCATTGTGATATACTCTTCAATGACGATTCTTGATGTGGTCTATTTTTGTTACAGATTCCAATTATAAAATTGCTTCATCATGTTAATCTTCAAAACTAGGTACCTTTTTTCAATAATGTCTTCTTTCCTCTACCTATCATGTTTATTAATATTTTGCAAAAAAAAAAATTGACATTTATCCATTTCAAATTTCATGCAAAAAATTAAAATTCAAGTATTTTCAAATAGATTAAACATGTTCTAATAAACAAAGTTTTTATAATTGCTTTTTAGATATGCAGAGAGGTGTTAACATCTTCCCCCTAATGATGGCAATGTTCTAAAAAACGCCTTAGACGGCTGCTTAGGCGCCGCCTAAGCGCTGGGCGCCTAGCAACCGATGCGTTTTTGGGCAAATCGGGAGGAAAAATCGGGTTGGGCCTAGGCGGGCTGGGCGGCTAGGCGGTCCTAGGAGGTTTTTTTTTATTTATTTTTTATTAATTGCGTGCTTTTTTCTTTTTTGGTTTCATGATGGTATACTTATGGAAATGGTATATCTAATTTGAAATGATGGATTTACTACAAGTTCATCCAATACTTATGGAAATAGTGTACCTAATTTGCATTTTATCATTATTTTATTATTCATACAAGTATAGTTTTTTTTTAGGTGTCAATATGCACTTAAATACAAGATATACAAGAAATTTACCTAAATACGCCTAGGCCGCCTAGCCGCCCAGGCGCTAGACGCTAGCCCGCCGCTCGACTAGCGCCTAGCGTTTTTTAGAACCTTGGATGGTGGTCTTCTATTTGTTCTAGTTGAAATCATCGAATTTGATTACTCTCCACCCTCAATCATCCTCATTTTGTCGCAAGTCGCCCACAATTACTCAATCGTTTTAATCCATATCAAATACAATCCTACTTTTTAACATATTTTTCTAATCCTCGGGCATTACTTGATTTGGTTTGTCAAATGGTGCATAAATTTTCTTACCTGCTCTGTTAATATGTGTTAGACCCACCCCACTTTTAAGGTTTTCGTATGTAATGCTGAAACATTTTGTGCTCAAAGTATATAACATTTGTCTTTTCTTTCAGATTTTTTGGTAAACAATGTTACCAAACATTTTTTTCTTCTTCTATATTGCGTATTTCTTTGGATACTAAGTGTAGAGTGTACTTTTTTAACACTTTCGTGTCTGCAGCCTTATATGACCTCTACTTTTATTTCCTTCAATAAAAACAAAATAATTCATTAATTTTAATCCATTTATTCTCATTTTGTCTACAAATCATTCTACATCTTTGATTCTAACTTCTTGGTTCTTCAAATATTTGTATATTTGTTCTATTCTACATTCTTTTATCATTTTCCAAAATATTCTAATTTAACATTCTGGAAGAGCAAGAAACAGCGTCGCAGCAACGCGCCGGCAATACTGCTCGTAAATAATAAGAAAGTGGGAAATTACCCGGCCCATTTAAACTTTTGGGGTCGATTTGAACGGGTCAAGTGTATTTCATCTCTCTCATCTCCATTCTCTGCAACGTTGGACTCGTAAGACTAAAGGGCGACACTCTCAGCTTTGGATCTGACACTGTGAAATTAAACGAGAAAGGAAAGAAGAAGGTGGAAGGTACAAGAAGAAAGAAGCACTGTGAGAAAGTGAGAAATGGAGCAGGTTCGGTCGGCAATGGAGGAGCACATGGATCAAATGGCAGATCTCGTCCAGAAGTTAACCGCAGAGTTACGTTCGGGTCTTGCACCTGCTGTAAACAATTTCTTGGGCTTTTTCCACGCTATCGACTGGACGGTACCTCTATTTTTATCTCTCTCTCTCTCTCCCCCTCTCCCTCTCTCTCTCCGTGTGTTTGGTTTCCCAGAAAGTAAACAAATTTGAAAAGAAAATCTAATTTAATTTAATGGGTTATTGGCAGGAACCTTGGTTGATGGGTTTAATGGGCATGCATCTTGTGCTTCTGATAGTAGCCATCACCTCCAGGAGGAATCTCAACTTCCAAATGTTTCTGTTCCTTTTGGCATGTAAGTTGGTTTTATTATTATTATTTCTTACATATGATTTTATGTTTCGATTAGATTGATTATGTTTGTAGCTTCTGGTGTGGTATTAATTTTGAGTTTGTATACATAATGTGTTAATTTTGGTATAATATGTAGGTTTATGTGTTGTTTGCGAGATGGTGTAATGTGTGATTGCGCCTTCAGTCAATCCGTGGAGGATTGTTCTTCCCTTACAGCAATAGAAATATATATATAGTGGTTTTTTGATGAAACAGATAATGGGTTATGGCTAAAATGCTTTCATTTGGGTTAGATTCACGGCATGTCTTTAGTTCTCTTGTGAGTGAAGCCGCATTTTTACGCTTGTGACTAGAATAGATCATTGATGAAACATATAATGGGTGGTGCTAAAATACTTTCATTTGGTTAGATTCACGGCTTGTCCTTAGTTCACTTTGCATACTTATTAGGATCGGAATAAGTTGATTCCAGAAGCAAAAAATCATGATTGAGAATGGTAATTGGAGATGACCTCTGCAAGATCTAAGCAGCTCGTCTTGGTTCAGGCTGCTTTTCTTGAAATAATTGATGGTGGTGGTAGAGAAACCATCATTTTATGGTCTTGGTTCAAAGGGTGGAAAATTTGCCTGTAAAGAAACCTGCTGTTCTACTGAACAAGTTATTTGGGTGGTTTATACGGTTACACAAGTCCATAACTCATTGCATTTTCAGCACATAAACTAGTCAGTTTCGTATGGTTTTAATGAAACTAGTGATATGGTAGCAGAACTCTTGTTTTATTTGATTGCAGTTTCAGTGAAATAATTTTCGATTTATGTCCTGCTAGATGTAGCCCATAACATTGGATAAAATCAAATGATTATGATTGACTCCACTGACACAAGTTTTCACTATCTATTAGTGAACTTGTGCTTCGATAGTTCAATGTGAGACTTTCAAATTTAGGATATGGTTTCAGGATCTTGTTTGATGAGGGAACCATATGACTGATGAATAAACACGACCAATCTTTAATTTTTTTTTCTAGTTGTTAGGCAAGATTCCATAGGAGCCTTGACCAAGCTTTATATCAAACTGGGGAAGGAGTACCAAAGGTTTGTTTTTGGCCTCGACTGGACACAACTTTTCTCAGAAGGAGGTTACAGCAAAAATATATCTGGCAATTATTTAATCACTTGTGTGCTCTTTTAATTAAAGCTTCTAATATAAATAGATTTTTTGTATTGCACATGCTGTGTGATTTCTCCAGAATATGTATGAATCTCTTCCATTACGTGTTCTGGTTATTTAGGAAATCCATTGAAACATCTGATTTAATTCTTGGAACTGGCACTGCAAACAATAGCATTTTGCTAGCCTTGTTTCTCTTTAGGGCTTTGGAAGAATTATTTTATTCTTCATCAGAGGATTTTTGTTTTAGTGAAATTATGCATGAATCTTATGACTAAGATTTCATGTTCCTCATACCTTTTGTAGAAGCTTGTCAATGGAGAATTGTAGTAATTTCCAGTTTTCGAGATTGGTTGGAAACTTTGCCAATTCAGTCACCAACCAGTACTTATCACAAGGGGTTATAAATTTTTTAATTTTAAGTGCAGAGAATTATGACATCAGCGTTAAGTACTGATGTTCTTTTGTGCTGCTGTGAGTATGAAGGCGACGAAGAAATAATTTTCATGTATTTTGGGGTTTGCTTTTTAGATACTTATATATGTTCCTCAGCATGTCAACTTACAAATGTAATATGTTCCTGTTGCCTATCTAGATACTTATACGTGGAAATTGCTTTGCAGTGGCAGGAGTATATCTTGCAGAGAGGCTCAATAGTTTCCTGCGTGCAAACTGGAAGAGCTTTGCCGGTCAGGATTATTTTGATGAGGGTGGAGTTTTTCTCTCAACGCTCTGGTCTGGGCCTCTTCTCGTCATTGCAATCATAATTTTGGTTAGTATGTGCGATTGATATTCATGTATTATTCTATCTTGTCTGATTCCGTATTTTCAATTCTTTGTTTTAACTTGAATCTAATTTCTTTCGCAGGTAAACACACTCTTTTCCTTGTGTCGCCTGATTGTTAAGTGGAAAAGAGCCGAGCTAAGACATCGTGCAAGGCTTTCTCAAAGTAAGCAGGATTGAGCTCCTCTCGTGCTGGATCGCCGGCCAAATCAATATGGGGTTTGTCTTTCATGGCTTTTTGTTTCAGAGCTCCTTGTGTCTAGATGATGCTGTAGTTACAAGTTAGATGGGAGTTGGGATAAATTTTGGCCATGCGAGTCATGAATTATGTAAAGGACCAACTAAGCAATGTGCTTAAGATTCCCATATCATAATCCTTTTTTCTGTAACATCAAATTTTGACCTATCTTTTTGTACGATAACTGATCTCAATCCGTGTAAGTTTTGGCTGTTAATTTCTTGTGGATGGGATCCTGTACTAAGATAACAGCAATTTCTTTTGTTGTCTCCGGTGGGAGAAATGACCACAGCTGTTTAATTGCAGCTCGGCTCGAGTCCCGTCTTCGATATTTTCCGAGTGAAATATTTGTTTTGGTCAGTTTTAAGCAATAACGAAACTATTGGCTTTCTGTCGGAAGTCTGCTAACTGTCAAAAGCTTCAGGATTATAACTGCAAAGAAAATGGGGCAGTTTTCTGGGGAAGAGGCTAAACTTGAAACTGCGAATTGGTACCTTCTTGTTAAGGGCATTCACTCTGTGCACTCGAAGTCCCGAGTTCGAATTTCCCCCTCTCAATATCCGCTTGTATCAAGTACTCATGCCCCCTTTTATTTAAAAGTTTTTGAGAAGTTTTCTTGTATTTTAGCAACAACGGAAGCAACATTGTCATCCACTAAACAACGAGCTCGCTCTCGTTTGCTGAACTCGCGCCTCTTGCACTTGTAACAACATACTCCAACATCAAAATCCAAAGCAGATTACTTGTATCGCCGTCCTCCACTCTCTTGTTGTGATTATCTTTGGAGTTTACTGAAACAATCCCAAAAGATGATTCAAGCTCAAACGGAATAGAACCAACAAGACACAGCCAAAACGCAACCAAACTAGCTACTTTATTAGGTTCGATTTTCGATTTTAAGGGTGAATTGTACTAAACCAGACCGTGCTCACCCTTCTCCTTAAAGCATCTACACCAGTTGGTGAAAGGTAAGGGCAAAGACAACAATGTTGCCCTCTAACCCAAAAATCATCTCCAGCAATCAAATAACCAAAGGTAAGTGATGGGCCGCAATTTTTAGCCTAAAGTTGGTGAAAGGCAAAGGCAAAGATAACAATGTTGCCCTCTAACCCAAAAAATCCTCTCCAGGAGTCCAATAACCAAAGGTAAGTGGTGAGCCAACAACTTTTAGCACAAATGCCCAGCCTTCTCAAGCTCAGTTTACTGTCTTCGGGCAAGGTACCGTCAATTTTGAATTAAGTTTTGAATAAAACAAACTTATTTATTTATTTATTGAACATTTCTTTTCTTAAAAATCTTTACAATTTTGAATCAAGTTTCAAAATCCAAAAATTATTAGTCTTGGATGGCCTTTAACTCAGCGGCAATAGCCGTTAAATAATTGAAAAAAAATCCCAACGGTCGCCTTTTTGAAATAAAACCCCGCCACAACCTCCCAAATATTTCCCCCAGGAATTACAACAATTCGTCATCCGTCTCTCTCTCTCTCTCTCTCTAAAATCCAGTTGCCCTACGCAGAATCCAAATTCTTCAACAAAGAACACGGTCATGGCGAATGAGAAAATGAATAGGAAGCTGAACGGAGAAGGAAGGGAAGAAGAAGAGGAGACGAAAATCCCAGTCTTCACAGTCCTCAAGAACGGAGCCATTCTCAAGAACATCTTCATCGTCAACAAATCCCCGCCACCGCCGCACTCCAAACCCATCTCCGCCGTCTACCGAAAAACCCATGAAGAAATCTTGATCGTCGGCCGACACCCGGATTGCAACATCGTCTTGACTCACCCCAGCATCAGCAGATTCCACCTCCAAATCCTCTCCGACCCTTTTTCTCAAAAGCTCTCTCTCACCGATTTGTCATCAGGTAAGAAATTTGGGTTTTTATTTGGCATTTCAATTAAGTTTTCTTTGCATAAAATAAGAAAACCCCAGAAACTTATAGGACTTGTTGGGTTAATTGGGGTTTTTGTTGCAGTACATGGGACTTGGGTTTCGGACAAGAAGATCGAGCCGGGAGTTCGAGTGGAGCTGAGCGAAGGGGACACGCTCAGGCTTGGTGGTTCCAGCAGGGTCTACAGCTTGCATTGGATTCCTATGAGGCAGGCCTATGATTTCGAAACACCTTTCGTGCCATTCATAGCGCACGACGATGATGAAAATGCAGAACAAGTATCGGATCAGGTAAGTAAATATGTGGGTTGTTTAATTTAGACATGAATCTGAAGAATGTCCAAAAGATTGCTTGTTGGATTGTTCAATGAAACCACGATTGTTTTTTGAATGGTTTTTTATTCTGTTGTTCGTTCAATCTGTTTCGTATTTCTTTATTCGAATTGAATTGAATTGAATAGGGTCAGAAAGTTGCCAATGAACTTTATACAAATTTTCGTTTGCGTTTTCTATTTGGGTTTGTGCAGAGTGAGAATTCTTTGCCTGTTGAGAACAAAGAAACTGAATCTCCAGATTCAAATTCCGTGGGTGTAGAATCATTGTTCTCTGATGAAATTGTGGGAGTCATTGGGAAGATGGAGGTCCCATCAGCACCTCCACTGCCGGAAAATGCCGTTTACTCAATTTTTGATCAAGGCGAAGAATGGGGCGAGAAATTATCAAAAGGTAGTGGTGACGAGAATGAAGTCTCAAGTTTCTGGGCATTTGGAACGGAATCGGTGAACCTGTTTTTGGAGATGGAAGAATCTAATCCTAATCGAATGGAAAACCAGCGCCTACAACCTCACTGTGTCACAGAAGAGGATTCGGAAAGAGAGAACCTAGAGAGTTCCTTTTTTACTGCAGAGGAAGGGGAAGCTTGTCTTGCTGTGCAAGTGTCAGAGGAAAGTGGGAAGCAAAGTCAATTGGGAAAAGACCATGGAAATACTAATTTTTTGAGTTCACCTCTTCTGACTGGGGAAATCCTCGAGGAGACCAAAACTCAGCTAGATGAGAAAGAAAACCTGACCCCGGAATCAAAACCAAACTTGCCCGCCAACCTGAATGCTGAACGTTCTTCTGGTGAAAAGGAAGAGGCCGATCCTGCTGCACAAGTACCTGAGAAGAACCAAAGCCCCTTGAGAAAAGATCAGGGACAGTTTGATATTTTATGTCTTTGTTCTGGACCTCAGGTGATGGAGAACTCAACCTTGCCGACTGGAGAATCCCTTGGGGAGGACAAAGATGAGCAAGTTCCAGAACAAAGCCTGACCCCAGAACCAAAATCAAACTTGCTGATTAGACAAAAGTTTGAACATTTTGATGGAAAGGAAAAGGAAGCTCATGCTGCTGCTTCTGTACCTGATAAAATTGAGAACCAACGCCCACTGAGAAAAGATAATGGACAGACTGATATTTCATGTCTCTTTTCTGGACCCCTTGAAATGGAGAACTTATTGTTGCCAATCGGAGAAGTCCTCGGGGAGACCAAAGATCAGAGAGTTGTAGAAGAAAGCCTGACCCTAGAACCAAAATCCAACTTGCCTGTCAACCTGAACTTTGAGCATTCTGATGAAAAAGAATGTCTAGTGGATGTGAGTTGTGGAGAATCGGAAAACAAAAGTGTGGCATCAGAAGATCATGAAAAAAGGGATACAAGCATTTCTTCTGCACCTCTTGTGACAGAATCTGGAACCTCATCTATATCAGAGTTAATAAATAACAAGGAGAGGCAGACCCCACAATCTCTCTTTACTGCAGCAGGACAGCCTGAATCGAAACTCTGTGAAAGCCCTCCACTGAGATCCGAGAATAAATCAAGTACGATGGTGGGAAGCATTTGGGCAAGAAGAGGTAAACCTGCTAGTGCGGTAAAGCTTCAAACAGATAAGAGCAGAGGAAAACCTGAGGCTGCGTATGATGATGATATTGGACAGGAGGAGATCTTTACTCCAGACAAGGAAAATTTCACCCCAAATACTCTTCGACTGAGGTCTTTGAAAAAGAAGGGTAAGATAGAAGTTAAGCATTCCAAATCCAGCACATCATCCTCGTCAAAACTAACTCTAGTCTCCAATATCCATCAACAAGAACTGATTGAATCCCCAGGAAAAGAGAACCAGATAATGAAGGAACTCCAAGAAACAAAATTACCTGGAAACACTTCTGGAAATCAAGCTAGGGTGGAGGAAAAGTTGACGGTAACAAAAGTAAGAAGAGAAAGGATTCCTTTTCAATCAATCAAACGTTCTGGAGGCAAGAACATATCAGAAGACTCAGTCCCTAACACAGCGACAAGAAGCAGTACATATTTCAGTTGTACTCAAAATAAGGAGGTCGCCAATGCATGCTCTGTAAGTTGATCAACACTTGGTTAAATGTTCCAAAAATTTATTCCCACAGCTGTTACTTTCTTCCATGAATTTATTTCTATGGTGCTAACTAGCTTTATCGAGCATAGACATGTAACTCAAAAGTTAATTTTCAGAATAAATCTGTTGGAGAAGGAAAGAGGAGCTGGACTATGGTTGCGGACGCTACCACTCTTCTCGACAAGGAATCAAGGAAGTCATTGCAGTTTCTACAAGGTCTTAAGGGGACTCAGTTAATCATTCCAAGAATGGGTAATGAAATTTGAATTATGTTGCATCAGTTTTCTTGCATGGTCATATTATTTGCTAGGTAAAGTTGTTCCTGATGATTGTGAATGCACTCGCTTATTGTAAACAGTCATACGGGAACTGGATTGCTTGAAGCAACGTGGCAGCCTTTTCAGAAAGAAAACAGAGGCTGAATTGGTGCTGGAATGGATCAAAGACTGTATGATTAAAACAAATTGGTGGATCCATGTCCAGAGCTCAATGGAAGACGGAAGACTGATTGCTCCAACCCCTCCTGCTTCGCCGCAGTCTCTATTTAGCGAGAAGAGTTGGGGCTTTCCTTCTAGGACAACGGGCTCATTGACTTTTTCGAGGTGTGGGAGCATGATGGACCTTGTATCACCGTCCCCAGAAGACCATATCCTAGATTGTGCTCTTTTATGTAGAAGGATGAAGAGGAACGATGGACAACTTGTCCTTCTCAGTACCGATGTCACCCTGAAGATCAAAGCTATGGAAGAGGTAATGATACTACAACTAGCGCTCTAACTATTTTCTCCTTCCACACTCGACGCACCATTGACGCATAATGCAGGCATTTTAAGAATGATTTTGGTTGTGTTTCAGGGTTTGCTCTGTGAGACAGCTGAAGAATTTCGTGAGGGTCTGGTTAACCCACTTTCTGAGAGGTTTTTGTGGCCCGACAGTTCTCCCTGTGGGCGTACATGGTCTTACTTAGGAAACGGAGCTTTGAGAGAAAAGTACAATAGCTGCGGCCCTCTGAAGAAGTCGTCAAAAGGAGAAAGTGCAAAGGGTTTGAAGCTCATTCTGCACCATAATGCTCATTACGGGCAGATCCGTTAGATGAACCAAAAACAATTTTCATTTACGGTCTCAAATTGTAATGGCATTGGTACGATGAGCAAAATGATGATCGAGTTGTTGACTTGTTTGTGCTTTATCAAGCACTTCAAACTTCTTTATTTCAACTGATTTGATCAAGAACTTGAGGAAATATATGCCTAACATATTTGGTGAACCGATCCTATGGGTGTACTAACAAAGTTCCTTAAGAGTACTCGATCTGTGTAGGGGTAGGGGTGGGTGCCTAAAGATTAGGGTTAGGTATGACATCTTTTGCGACTTGGGAAAAGTTGGTGAAATTGTTGTTACTCTCTCTCGGACCGTGACAGAGATCCCAAATTACTCTGCAATGCGAGGATGCGGAGTAGATTTACTACCCTATTAGAATCACGACACGTGTTTAAACGTTTTACTATGGTAAGAATCTACAGCAGCAAATAATTAAAGGGCGTTTTAACAAAACACTCTCGGTACTATTCACTTTTAACGAAAAACCACATTTATACCTTTCCCTAGTACTATTCACTATACCTGTAAAAAGGGCTTTTCATTAAAATGGAAGTTTTTTTGGACTTTTCGTATAATTTAAATGCAAAATAGGCTACGGCAGTGAATTCATATCGAATATCGACTGAAGATGGATAACAAAATGCAGCCTAGTAAAACTACATTGGGAGCAGTAGCGGAGCCAAGGTGGGGGCAATGGGATTCCTTGACCCCAATAACCTTGTGGCCAAACAAGAAGAAGAAGAAGGAGCTGATAAAGTTTGTTTGTGTTTGTTTGATTAGTTTCTTGGGGTTTAGAACTTGACAGAAAAATGGAACAAAGAATGCAGAGATGTTGGACGACTACAAGGCTGTGCAAATTGTATCTGCCATCACTTCATTTAATAAGGAATGTTTGTAAGGTTTGGTGCATTGCCAACTCCCAAAACATTTTTTAAGAGTCTGGGGGACAAGAGAACTTAAACAAATATTACACCCATTCTCCTCCAGATTTGATCATAGCCCTTCATTGGGGTTTTAAGCGATCTAATCTGGAGTGCACACTTGTCACTCTCACACACACATACAAAGCATTTAAACTGAAAACAAGCCGTTGGGACTAAACCCTTTTTTTCTTCTTTCTTCTTCGATGCAGCAGCAACTCATCCATTGGAGCTCCACTTGCTGTCGTCGATCCTTGGAACTAGAAGCAGTTTAAGGTCCAACAGGAGCTGCTGCTCCATTTGTTAGCCATCACTCCATCAGCACCTCTTCTCCAGCCCCCTGCTAAATCTTCCCACCACCGTGAATTTAAGGCCTGGCAGCCTCCAGATCGTCAGACCCGCGTTTTCGGCATGCCCTGTCTAGTAATGGAAGTTCAACTTTTGACCCCATTGTCTTAAATTCCTGGCTCCGCCACTGATTGGGAGTTGCAAGAACTGCAAAGGAAAGTGGTAAATAGAAAGAAACAAAAACACCATCACTGAAAGAATTCCAAATATGAAATGCAGAATCAGACCGATGAACACGAAAGTTAAGGGAAATAATGATGCAGAATTGGTAAACTAAGATTTAAGCATCGCTAGAGCCTACTACAACTTCTATTAAGCTACAAACTAGTAAGCACCATCATTTATTCAAGCTTAAGAAATCACATAACATATGGGACCACCTAAAACTTACAAATGTTAAAGAAAGTCATACGCTGGCGAGCAATCATTAGTGTCGTTGAAGATTGTTGAAATTCGACTCCCCTCCAGTTTTGTCAGTGTAATTACAAGACACTGGCATAAGAAAAGAGATCTCTGAATCCTCAAACGGGGGTCGAGGCAACTCATGAAACCCATCAAAGTTACAGGTTTCAAAATTCAATGGAGAGAAGTAACTAGTAGGATCATCGATACTTTCTTTCACGTCCATGAGATTTTGAGATCCACCACCTCCGCCAGGAGCAGTGGAGCCAAAACTGAAGTTAATGCTTCCAACTCTGTTTGATGCTTCACTGCCTTCCCCGTGGTTAGTTGGCCCTAGAGTTCCTTTTGGTTCATCGGGGGGTATGGCAGGAGTGTGACCTTGGAAAAGGGCAATATGGCCAAAAAGCTTGTCTTTCCTTGAGAAGGTAGTGCCACAAGAACAAAGCCACTTGTCCTTACCACAATGCTTCTCATGAGTTTTCAGATCTGCAATAACGGAGAACTTCTTGCTGTTGCATCTGCTGCAAGTGTAACTTTTGTCACAGTGGGTTCTCTTGTAGTGATTCTTGACACATAAAATAGTCTTCAAGGGCTGAAACTTTTTGTGATCCTTGTTCCGCTTGCAGCCAGCATAAGGGCACGAATACCTTTTGATAAGTGTTGGTTCGGAGCTGGATTCCTTGTTGGGCTTTGCAAGTGCTGCTGCGGTTGTACTCGTCTCCATGACCTCTCATGTGCATCCTTAAATTTGCATCCCGCTTGAATCCCTTTCCGCAAATTGCACAGAAGTGAGTGTGGGGTGCCAGGATTTCTTCTTTCTCTAACTGTAAAATTTCGTAGCTACCAGGCGGAAGGTTCTCACCTTCATCAGCATCTTCTTCATCCTTTGTTTCATGTTCTTCCATGTGCTCAGTCCCATAATTACTTATTAGATCAGTATGGTTGGCCTGATCAGCTAATTTGCTTCCACTATTAACTTGCAACTTAACACCCACATCATTTCCTGCTGCAGAAGGAATGAATGACCCACCAAGCTGCCCAAACTGTCCTGTAAAAGGAATCGTGGTGGAAAGTGTATGCTTCACAGATGGTAGAAGACTACCTGCTGTAGAGATCAACTGAGCAATTATGGAAGTAAGGTCAGCAGTTATGAGCTGCTGTTGCTGAGCCACAAGTTCATCTGGTCGTCCTAGAACTTGACCTCTCCGGCCAACAATCACATGCACTAAATCCTGAAGCTGATGGATCTTTTGTTCCAGAAAAGAGAGATCATTCACGTCATTCTTGGATCCCAGTCTTGGATTTTATCAGGCTGCTGCGCCTCACGCATCCTACCATCTTCTCGATCTGGTATTTTTGTATCGTTATTGGAGTTGCAAGTATGCGACGTTTGCGAATCAGAAGGCTGGTGGAATTTCTGGAAGGACAGTTCCATCCCCATTTCATAATCTAAAACGGAGGGACTTTCCCACTTCTGTTGATGCTGCCGTGATTTGTAACTGGTAAAAGGTTGATGATCTGAGGAAATCGTATTTGTCACATCATTCCCAGTGGAAGGATTCTCCCAAGTGTCCCATTGCCTTTCTTTAGGATCCATTTCCCAACTTGTATCCTCACCTGATGTATCAAAATCCAACACCAATCCAGCTTAATATACGAGACAAGAGAATCGTCATTGTAAATCAAAGAAATCGCAAACTGAAATGAATCATCGAATAAAGATATAGCTGCATCAGACACGCAGCGGAAAGTCTGAACAAATTCAATACCCATTTTCCCCTCCGATGCTAGTTTTAAGAAAACTATCATCTTCCTCAACAGATTTATTCATGAAACACTTGAAAAATAAAATAACTTTCACCATTAACGGTCAATATCCTCATAGGGTAACAATTCTCAGAATTAATCCCCACCTCCCATCCAGAATTCAACTCAGTTTTCCAAAAACAATTTATACTGATCGATTAGGATTTAGTAGCTGTACGTGCATATGCAACCCTAACTGTAATGAAACAGTTATTGCTAATTAACAATTAGAGGCCAATTCAAGATCCTAAGATCTCCATTCAAGACAGCTTAAGCTGAATTATTTTCACTAAACCTAATTAAGAAACCCAAAATCCTATCAAATACCATTCATAATTCCCAAAAGCAGCTGAATCCATTTCAGTTAAACAAAGCTGATTACATAAGATTCAACCACATACAAAAAGTAAAATTAAAAAAATTAAAAATTAAAAAGTAACCAGAACCTGGGAGAGAAAATGGAAGAAAACACAGATAAATCTCAATCTTTGGACAAATTTAAAAAAAAAAAAATATATATATATATATATATATATACACACACATATATATGTATGTCTGTGTGTGTGTGTGGGTGTGTGAGAACCCTAAAAAAGAGAGGTAAGAAAAATCACCAGATTGAAGAGTGATTGTGCTTATATGCTCTTTTGTCTCCTCTCCTCCTTCTCCGCTCGGTTGGCTCTTACATTACAAACTTTTTTTTTTGAGAGAGAGAGAGAGAGAGAGAGCAAAATGGATGGAAGTTGAGCTCAGCTGCATCTGTATATCAGCAATCTCTGCTACAGTTCTCAATTTACAGTGTAACACGGTGGGGGCCTTAGTTATTTGTCAACCCCATCAATCAGACCGTCCATTTCTGGAACATAATTGATTAATGATTAGGGTAGTGGGACCCGCTCATTTTGTTAGACATTCAATTGTTCACCGTTCATGGGCTGTGATCAGATCTTGATTAGTTTTGTACGGTTGAGATTTCTCACAGAAGGAGGCGAAGTCTGATTGGAGATGTGGGGCCGCCCAGAACTCGGGACGACTCTTTCACAATAAATAAAACTAAATCCTAATTTTAAGTGCCAGAAAATTAATTATTCAAGTTGGACAAGGAAGATAAAAGAGAAAAGTGCCCAAATGTACAAAAGTTACGGTTTAGGTAACCACGACAAGTTACTTAGGAAAAGTGCAAACATTAATTCTCTAAAGGAAAAAAAAAAAAGGTTTAGATTCGATACTTATAAGTTGTGAATTTGTTTGATCGTGATAACGAATAGAGTGAAATTCTCAACTAGCCTTCTCCGGACTCGGAATAGATGGATACCTGTGATTCGCCATTAGTTGTACCCTTTTATTAAAAAGAGAGGGTTATGGTTTATTTAGTGTTTGAGGCATTGAGCACCTAAAATGAGAGATGCAAAATATTTTGAAATGGAAAGGTTATATTGGGATCGAAAATTTCTCCAGTGACGGAATGTAAATTATTTATCTTTACAAAAAGATAAAAATAAAAATGTATATTTACATTTTCTTTACGTTTTTAGAAAGTGGTCCGTTAGATTCCAAATCTACATCTCTCTCCATACAACTCATATTTACATTTTCTAAAAATATAAGAAGTAAAATATGAGAGTGTTACATTTAAAATTTGCATATCTAATGTTGGAAGATGGTCCTCCAATCCCCATGGGACATGAGCCATCATGCCACACTCGTTGACAAGGACGTGTATTGCCTGTCCAGATGCCTCTTTCTCCACACTACCTGGTCTTCTTGCTTTATTTGTGTCTTGTTTTTAATCAGAGATTTCTTACAACCCAAGCATCTAGGCTAAAGTTGATAACAACAATACACTGAAATACTGAATATTTAACGCATATTTTATTATTTTAAAGAGTAATAGATATGTTGTTTTATTTATTTTATTTTTTTTAGTTTTAAGAAACAAAGATCGAGTGATATATTTTTATTGGGTTAAATTAGAAATTGAGTATTCATTTGCAGAAGTCACTAAATATATTATTTTCAAATAACTCATTTGCAGAAGTCATATACAAATTCTCACAAATTCGTGCATTGCGTCTAGCAGACTCAAATCTCTTTATCTAATTTTTGTTGATATTTCGACATTGGAGAAGAGAGATTTAAACTAAGTGACACAATGTGGCAGATATAACCAGACATCAAACTCGTTATTTATATGTGTCCCAACTTGATACTTTTACTTACAAATAAAGAGAAATATTACTGCAGTACAAGTGACTTTATGTGTATAATTTATAGTGCATTTTTCGCAAATGTTGCCTACAAACTGCAAAGCAGTAGCTTGTGGCCCAATCTTCACACAAAAGGCATTTCCGGTTACCTAAATAACTTTTTAACGAGAGGTATCAAAGGAATAAAGTTTCTCAAGGAAAAACCATGGACCACATTCATTGATTTATGGTAATAGTTGACATAACACACCCATATGGACACAGGTAAGAAGAAATTTGACATAAAAAACATTCAAATGCACCTGCCGGGCGGAATTGGTACATTTGCATATGTAGCTGAGATTTGCTGTTCCAAAACTTTGACTCAAATAAACACATCAGCACTCACTCATGCACTATAACCATCTGACCACATTGCAGTCTACCGCTGCGAAGTTTCTCTTAGTCACTGTACAACAAAATCTGAGATCCCAGAAACAGGAGGAGAAAGGCATATGAGAAGCAACAAAAATGGGAGAGGGAGAGCAGAAGAGAGACAATACAGGTAGTGGTAACTTACAGTACATTCCGCAATCAGAAGCACAAAAGTATATCAGTCTGCACATTGTTGTTCTTCGATTTCAGGATTTCTATATGGTAGCACATCCCTGTACATTAAATTTTGCTAAGTTCTCGGGTTAAAAGGATATAGTAGTTCTTCGTACCACCCACTGTACAAATTTTATGGGAAATAGGTAAAAAGGTCGTACCCAGTGCACAAGGCTCCCGCTTTACGCAGGGTCTGAGAGAGGTGAATGTCGGCTAGCCTTACCCCCATTTATGGAGAGGCTGCTCCCAATTATGGGAAATAGGTCATGGGGAAAAAATTATTTACATGATTATTGTTTATGTGCTAATCCTAGAACAATGGCCTATAAAAGTGAATTAATTCTTTATAAAAGCTTTCAAATAATATCAGTAATCTTAAGCTCAATTGATTAAGATTTCAGAAGATATACTTTGGAGATGAAAATTTTAAGGCCCATTTAATAACCATTTCACGTTTAGTCTTTTATGTTTAATTTTTGGTAAGATATAGGAGGAGAAGAGATGAAATGAGGTGGACAGATGGTGAGAGAGATGTAGAAGAAATGGTACACAAAAGGAACCTAAAACCAAAAACTAAATACAAAATTAAGTTGTTTTCACCCTCTTCCCACCCTTTCCAAGTGGTGATCCAAAAAAAAAGACATCAGCTCTTATATTTCCTAAATCTCTCTCTAGACAAATCTTAACATCTCACACAACTGGAATGACCCATACTCTAAACATTAGATAGAGAGATTTGTAATGACTAGATGTAATGCACTTCGAGGGGTTTGTAAATGACTGCTTGAAAGAAGTCATTTGAGAATCCTTTGTTTAGTGGTATGTAGAAAATATTCATGAGCTCTATCAAGAAGACGCATGACGAATATAAGCTTATGTATATTGATTACGTAGAGAAATAATGAATTAAACAATCTGTGAGCCAGGTGAATTATAAAAATGAACAAGGTCACATCATGGTAATGTATATATATGATTATATATACGTGACAAATTCAATATCTTGATGTAAAGAAATGAATTATATTGAATAAGGACGTGTGTTAGACAAAGACACTGTAAATGTGTTGCCTTTATATTGTGTATCTATCTTACTCATACATTAATTCATTTTTTTCTGTAGATGATATTTTGTTCATGCACTATATAGTGTTTCAAAATTTCAGAAATGTCATAGTTATGTAACAGACATGTAGAATGAAATTTATAAAATTTGAGAAATTTGAGAAATGTACAGGCAAGACAAATCAGTAAATTAAAGACCTCATCCTCAAAAAGTACCACCCCACCTCCCTAAAACCCCAATGGGAAACAAGGAACAGATCATGAACTTGTTTCTGTCATATGGAAAGTTAAAGAAATTACCTATCAGCTTAGCCATTTGAAACAGATGCTCTTTGATGACGGAAATCCCGGGTTTCTTCCAAGAATTTATAGAAGTTAGACAGAGTTGTAGAATCGTTGTTTGTATCTCTGGTAAGCAACCACTCTTCTCTAAGCTGAACATCGACATCCCTGCAGAAAAGTGTGACTCGGGAATATCAAGAACTATGGATTACTATAGAGCAAGGTAATAAGATAACTCTGAATAACAGCATTATCCCTGGAATTTAATGATAAAAGAAAATTAACACCGCAAACATAGTAACTACCTCCTAAGGGAAAGAATCTCGTAGTTCCTCCTTAGGTAATCAGCATGTTTTGTTAGAGCATCTTGAGCATACTGTCTGCCCACAGTTCTGACTGCAGCTGTGTTTAGTAGGTTTTCCAATGAACCGTGCTTTTTCAATAGCTTTAGGGCAGTCTTCTGACCAAATCCAGGAGCTAGATGTTGGATTCCAGGAACATCAGTGTGATCACCCACAATGCACCCTAGACATTAAGTTAACAGAATTACAAAACATGTTATGGAAGTGAATACATATTACATTAAGAGGGGCTTGGTTTATCAGACAGGAATGCGGCCTAGTAAAACCACTCTGGGAGCTTACAACAGTAAACAAACTGACAAATTAAGAAGAAATAATCACTGTCTCCCCTTATGTGTTTGTTTGAATGTGATCAAATGTTTTACAAAACATTGCAGTTCAGTTGCTGTGCAAATTTACATCCGTAAATAATTATCCCAATATGTCAGTGTTCACTCTACAACATCCTAGCGAATTTAATGAGTATTTTTAATTGAGCCATAAAAACCATAGACTATATGAATCAATAAGTCTTATATAAAAGTGAACATTCACAGATATAGCATCTATGCAGAAAACTGTCCAGGATAAGATACATCAACATCATAACTGGCTCTGGAAACAAAACTGGAAAACATTTACCATTTATGAAACCACCACATTACAATTATACTTACTAAGGCTCAAATCACAGCATGGATCACAGTTATACTGAGCTAGGTAGTGCTTAAGAGTGTAAAACGACCAGCGTTCTAACTCATCCAGGGGCACAACAAGCTGGACATCTTCCGAAAGCAATTGCTTAAAATCTTTATCAGGTGAGGCAATCACCACCCGATATCCTGTTTGAAGAACTTGCCCCACAAGTGTAGCTATAACATCATCAGCTTCATGACCTTCTACTTTTATGACCTGCAACACTTTATGTTCAAAATAACGAAAAGCAGCAAACCAAAATATTTTAATTTTATCAGCTACAGGCCTTTTTGAGAGATTTCATGTTTTAAGCTTCAATTCCATTAGCTTCAGGCATGGCTTAAAGAATCCAATATAATATGAAGTATCCAGACCAACAAAAAATTATATCAAACGACTCAACAGTTAAAAGGACACAATTTTAAAATAGAGAGCAAACTGGTTATTGAATTTTTATTTCAAACAACTAGAATAAAGAAGGGGCAGCCCGTTGTATCCTGTCTTAATGAACAGCTTTCTTCACCAACTTGATGTGAAGAAGGTGCAAGACTTTATGAGTAAAGAAGTGAGAATTAGGCACGTGCGCTACGCTGACGATATAGTTCCTTGACTGTTCATAGATACAAGTATATCATGTTTATATAGGAAGTCATTAGAATCAGTTTCAAATGAGTTCACGGATTATTCTCTTTCTTATAAAGTGATGGTTGTGTTAGCAGCAGTAAAATGAATTTGGTCCAGCTTTAGTTACTTGTTAGGTAGTCCTACTTGAGAGGTCTTAGCTAGTTTTGCTAGTAGGTGGATTTCTTATCCGCTTGTAATTCCTTCTATTGATTGAATAAAATTCTATCGTTTCTTCTCAAAAAAAAGAGAGTTTACTTATAGTTATACGTCATGTTTGGTGAGCAGGATATATTTGACAAATGTGAAAGAATTACATTAGACTGGAATCGGTTAGATCCTGTATCTTGTATTACGTGTAGTATCAGATATGAGCTCCAAATAGGAATGGGTTCAACAAAAGATAAAATCATTACTGAGACTTCATTAAAAATATTATAAAGGAAAGAATGGTTGCTGCAAGAATACAAAAAGTTGGTAGTGGGGGTAAGTGGTGGCAAGTGGCAACTGAATCAACAATGATCATATAACCATAGTGGTGATAGTGGGGAAAACAGCATCAGTGTAGGTGGTGGGGTGTTAATTCCTTGGTCGTGCTAATGCCTTGGCGGTAGCAATAAAGGCGGAATAAAGTAGTGTGTCAACAATGAAAATGACTATAACAACAGTTGGTCGCATTGGCAGTGATAGTGCTAGTAATAATATAGTTCAACTGTGGTAATCCTAGATACAGTAATCCCACCCTCCGATTGAATTTTTTATCCTCTATGTGATGGACTTCAAAGTACACAGAATTTCCATAACCTTTTTCAATTGCAGAACCAACCACTAGATATGCATACAAGTTTTCTATCTGTAAATGCGGTCTTTATATACTGGAAAAGCTTTACAAGAGCTTTGTGCATTTTTTTCTTGTTAAATTTAGAAATTATTGAAGCACAGCAGGTTTGATGAATCTTTAAAAGTTATAAATCTTATTCGGTATTCCAGGTCGAGTTTGCAATTCATCCTTTGTTGGCATGGAAGAATTGTTAGTAGCCTTTAACGAAGTGGAGCCTTCTATGGTCAATTAACAGACAAGTTGTTGAGATGGCTCTTTGATTAGTCTCGTAAGATCCATCTCTTTCTTTACTCTGTTAGAATTTTTTTGTCGCTTCATAATAAACATCATGTTAATGTTTGTGTACTCGGTAGTTGCCCCTCAGTGTTTACTTATTAAAAAGTTAGCTTTGATTAATGCTTCCAGCTCTATAATCAGATCCATATTTGCTCTAAAGATAATATTACAACCTAATGTAATGATACAAAAATAGAGGTTCACTCACAGGCACATTGCATTTTCTAAGAACATTGGTGATGACTCCATGTGACCTTCCAACATGCCCCTTTGAAAACTGTCTTGTGAATTTCCACCTGTGTGCTTTATAAGATGGTAATAACTGTCTGCGGTGCTCACTTCCTCCTTCGCCATCAACAACCTGCAAGTGCAGAATTTAGAAAAAAAAAAAAAAACATATAGTTACTATTACCAAGATTAACCATCATGATACAGCATTAGTTAATTGTAATTTTAATGTTCAAGTTCCAGGAATCTCAACCCTCTACCCTCTACAGCTGAAAATCATGAAAGAATAAGATTAACTTTGCAGGGAGTCTACTAGAACCAATGAATTATCACTATTCCCTTCACGAAAATATGTGACTTGAGCATCGCGGAGAATATGTCTTGGCTTGGGTTTATAATTTTCAAGCCTCTACCAGGTTAAACAATGGCACGCCCACTAACTACCCTAGAAATAATAGGGAAGTATTATTCTCCATAAGTGGTGTATAACCCAAATAAGCTAATACAACTCTCTAAATATATGACGAATTATAACCAGCCCCTGGGTGCCTAGAAATAAAAAAAAAATAATGGCTTATAGTGAAATCATAAACTGCTTCATAAACCTTTAATATGGCAATCAAAATTCCCTATAAGCATTACAAAAAATGGTCAGGCCTGGAGCTATATGGTATCTTCCTGTGAAATATATTTTGCCAAGCTAGCTATTTATCTTTTCTTAACCAAATTTTGATATGCCTTATAGTGATGTAAGCAATATGAAGTGCAGCATCATAATCTATGCTCCAAACAGCAGAAATGTAAGTTTTTGGAGGTTGTGAACGTCGAAGAAAACGATTTTAGTTGAAATATGAAAGAGAGAGTGGCGAAAAAACTAGTGAAGCATTTCATCGAACACATGGTGCGCAAGTGGTAAAGAGGACTTACAGCAATAACAGGGTCAGATAGGCTAACTTGATTGAAAAATAAGGAGACCCAATGAGCAAAAGCGTGTAAGCTGGGTCTGCTTCCTGCATAGCAGAGAGGATTGACGTCTAAAAAGAAGACCCTTTTCTTGCTTGCCTTGTTTGGCAACACTACTTGTTGTCCATCATCAGCCGTTTGTTTATACCCACAAGTACTAGTAGTAAAAGAAGAAGAAGAAGAAGAAGAAGAAGAAGAAGAAGAAGAAGAAGCTGCAACTCCACGAATCTTCCATGGTTTTGTCTTTGTTACCACTATTGTGCGACGAATTGGATGCTGTGGGCTTACAGAAAGAAAGGGTCTGATATGAACGCCGGTAGGAACTGCAACTTCTACCATTTCCAATAAGAGTAATTTTGATGTTGCAATTTAGAAACTTGGATATTTATCCAGAAAAACATAAAACAAATTGAACAAAATTTTAATTTTTTGAGAGAAGAAAAGAAAAATAAATAAACGTTATGAATCACATTCACATCACACTAAACTAGGGGTGAGTTTGTTTTTTTTTCCTCAAAATCGAAAACGAACTGAAATTACTATTCGGTTTGGTTTAGTTCGGTTTTTTTTTAAATTACTATTAAAAAGTGCTCATGTACCCACCTTGTGTATGGATGATTGGATTCCATTGAGTTTGTATGGAGTTCTAATTTTTTGATGGTTTTGTTAAGTTGGTTTAGAACCTTATATTCTTCTAGATTCTATAGATTTGGTCCAGAATCTCATTTCCGATTCGGTTTTCATTGAGCTAGTCAAAAACCCTATATTCTTAGCATTACATTGATTTGATATGGAATCCTACTTTCATTATGATTTTGGTGAGTAGTCTGATATCTAATGACTCATCCTTGTCAAATTCTGTTGAGTAATTCTGGAACTCTATGTTTTCTTGCTAGATAATGCCAAACAAATATAAATAATATAGCCATTATCCGATATTGTATCAAACGCCTAACTAATTTAGTTAGTACTATCCGATGACTATTTATCCTATCCGACTGAAATAGACAGTACAATCCGAGCTGTCAAACAAGACCTAAGTGTCAGCCACCCAAAATGTATCAGGAAAGTGACAAAAAGAGTAAGTTGGTATTGGGTTATTGGGCTTGGAAAAAAAATTGTTTGGAGTTTCAATTGGGTGTATAGAGAGTTGGGCTTATAGAATCAAGCCTGGTTATTAAGAAAAAAAACAAATGTTAATTAACACATTCGGTCAAGTTCGGTTTGGATGGTCCAAAACAAGTAACTTAATTTTTTGTTTATTATTACTAGATTGGGAAATGCTAAGGAAATTCTCTTCAAAGTAAAACTCTTCACAGACTCTCTGTCATCACTGATGGTAGCATACGAGGACTAGGATGGTCGTAGGCCTACCCCGACTTCAAAAAGAAAAATAGTTTACACCTATGTCTATTGCTTTGCAACCCTTCTTAACACTTAACACAAAACCAATCATTTTATCTATCTTTGCATCCAAATCCCATCCCAAAATTAAGTATAATATTTCAAATAGTCATTTATCACAAATCAATGACATTAAATTGAAACCAAACATTTACTTTTAATTAAAAAATCGTCTTTCACTCTTACTTGAGTTTTAGGGCTTGCAAAATTTTTAGTAATTCTCTCTATTGAGTTTAATAATACTTTTAGTTGTATAGATGACATCATGAAATGGTTTCAAAATATGAAACTCGTCAAGAATAATTATGATTACTATAAAGAGATAAAATTATCTATGCATATGTTAATTTTGACTACTTAATTATTTGGATATATATTATGGTGTTTTGCATTAGTAAGTTTATAACCACTATTCGTTTTGTCTTCTTCTATACTTATGTGAGGCCCCTCCTCACAAGAATCCTCCCTCGGCCACTATCCGCTACCTTATGTTTTTTACACAATTCATATGTCAACATTATAAAACATTGTATCAAAAACTAGAGGTGGCAAAGAGTTTATAAAGAATCTCACTTTGAGAGAGTATCCTTAACATTTCTCTTATTAGGTTTGAATAGGTTTTCTAGTGCACCGTTTTTATTCCCCAATCTTAGCTAAGCACTTACTAATTTAGTTAAGTTCGTTTTAGTTAGTAAATTCGCGTACATATTTTAAAAATATTTTCATTTTTCGCACTCTTTAATTGATGAACTAAATTGCATGTTTTTAGAATTTCAACATATAATACACACATACTATATCGTATTTATGTACTTTCAATTCAAGTATAATACGTTATTTAAACATATTTTTCAATTTAACATATTATTGAAAAAAAAATAATACATAAATATTTTTAACAAAATTGCAAATAATATTTATTTTGGGAATTGTTATCGGCAGTCTAAAAATCTCATTCTACATTTTAAACTTTCTATATTTGGAAAGAAAAATACACTTGTGAGCGGTGTAGAATAAGATTTTTAAACTGCCAATAACACTTCTCTTTATTTTAACAAAATATTTAAATTATTATTTATAGAAAGGAAGCAAACCAAGAGCCCATCATCAAGATTGACACTGGTAAATTAGTTGGACGTTGGAACCTCCGCCCGCCTTGGTTTCGATGCATTCGAGAAACTCTCACCCAAATATCACCAACTTATCAACCATGAAATAAACCCACTAAACAAAACCCCTTCCCATCCAAACCACCTCGTTCCCTCTCCCTCTCTCTTTCCTGACTGCCCGCTCCAATGGCTCGCCTTCTCAACACCTCCTTCATCCCCAGCTCCCAATCCCTCCGCCGGAACGCCACTTCCTCTACCCCGGCCCTCATTTCCGGGCGCCGGAGCAGGGCCCAAGTCCAGGCCAAGATCCGGGAGATCTTCATGCCGGCTCTCAGCTCCACCATGACTGAGGGCAAGATCGTCTCTTGGGTCAAGTCCGAGGGCGACAAGCTATCCAAGGGCGAGAGCGTCGTCGTCGTCGAGTCCGATAAGGCCGACATGGACGTCGAGACTTTCTACGACGGTTACCTGGCTTCGATTATGGTGGAGGAGGGCGGCGTCGCCACCGTCGGTTCGGCTATTGCTCTATTGGCCGAGACCGAGGACGAGATTGCCGAGGCCAAAGCCAAGGCCGGTTCTTCATCAGCAGCTCCAGTGGCACCAGCACCGGCTGCAGCTGCTCCGGAGCCACTACCGGAGAAAATTCCGGATAATGTGGGTCCTGCGGTGGTCCCTAAGGCGGCGGCTACTGTGGCAGCGGTGGCTTCCACCCACCCGGCATCAGAGGGAGGGAAGAGAATCGTGGCATCGCCGTATGCGAAGAAGCTTGCAAAGGACTTGAAGGTGGATTTGGGGTCAGTGGTGGGAAGTGGACCACTGGGGAGGATTGTGGCCAAGGATGTTGAAGCTTTTGCTGCTCAGCCGACGGTGGCGGCTGTTGCTGAACCGAGTGTTGGGAAGTCAGCTGCTGCGGTGGCGGCGGAGGCGGGAATTCAGTTGGGATCGGTGGTGCCTTTTACGACAATGCAGGGGGCTGTGAGTAGAAACATGCTTGAGAGTCTCTCAGTGCCAACTTTCAGAGTAGGATACACTATCACCACTGATGCGCTCGATGCTCTGTACAAAAAGGTAACTTTTCGTTTTCTCGCTTTCGGAATCATTTCACATTTTGCAAGAACAATGCTGAATTCTTATTGGGTTTAAAATTCAAATTCATTGTTCGTTAATGCTCAGCACTGAAAAGATGGTTTTTAGGTAGTTTCAATTCAACAATTTGGCTGCTTAACATGACAATCATCAAAATTGAGTCTGTACTTGATAATTCGACATTGTCTTGAAATCGTAAAGCGATTTCTTTTTTCCATTTCAATGAAGACTATGTAGTTTATAGTATGCTAGGCGCTTGCATTGTTAATAAGGTTGTATTTTATTTTCCAAGAGAATGTGGCTTACTGGTCGAGAAATCTGAAATCATGACAGTGGATTCGTAAGTTAAGTTTACCACGTTATTCTGTTGTAACGAGTAGACGTTATGATTTATTTATTTTCTAGATCAAGTCGAAGGGAGTTACCATGACAGCATTGCTTGCAAAGGCTACAGCACTTGCATTGGTCAAACATCCTGTTGTCAACTCCGGCTGTAGAGATGGTAAGAGCTTTACATACAACAGCAACATTAACATTGCAGTCGCTGTGGCAATCGATGGTGGATTGATTACACCAGTGCTTCAGGATGCGGACAAGGTTTGGGCCGTTTCATTTTTTATGCTTTATAGTAGTGGTTTCTTTTTTTTTGGGAAGGTGGTTGGTGGTCCTGATGCTTGAAGTTTTAATGGGTCAGGTTGACATATATACATTGTCGAGAAAGTGGAAGGAGTTAGTTGATAAGGCCAGGGCCAAGCAGCTACAACCTCACGAGTACAATACAGGTACTATTATTACTTACCTAAATGCTTAGTAACCACACAACATGTCGAGAAGAAAAGGAATGGAAGTGTTAGGTTTATTTTCTATTACATTGTCATGCAGAATGAAATGTGAAAATAAACAACCTTTACATGTGAAGTTTTTAAAACTTGTATAAACATGCTTCAAAATTCATGATTATGTCTATCAAATTTAGTAACTACTTTTTTGTTCAATACAAAAAATTATGTTGCTAAATTTGATAGAAATAATCATATTCATCAAAACGTATTTAACTTTTTTGATCAATACAAAAAAGTATGTTCATTTGGAGAAAAGGAGATTTATGTGCACTGGCATTCACTTAGTTTTGCTGTGGGTATGCATATGGGATTAGAAAACCCTTTTAATCTCATCAATATTTCTTCTGGAATTATTTATGGACTATTCAGTTTGTAGGATGTTATAAAATTTTCCTTCAAAACTTTTAATTACTTAGCTAAAGTATGACATGGAATAATTCAATTTATGCTTTATCGTGGTATGAAATTAAACACCAAAGCTGAATAGTGGGAGTGAGAACAAGGTGATCATTGATCATGCAGTCAGCGTTTGTTTTCCCCAAGCAACAATGCCTAAACCAAGCAACAATGCCTAACACTGTGTGTAAAGTTCTTTACAAGTAGGAAATGTTGGCTTGCTAAGTCAGTTCGTTTCAATGCTTCAACTCAATCTTGGCTCTTTGAGGTCACAATTGACTCCAAGATAGACCAAGAAGCTTTGGCCTCGCCATTACTTCTAATGATGCAGTTTACAAAGCCTGTTCTTTCTGTTACCTTTTAACTGTGTTGTGCATTCGAGGGGTCTGGCCCTTATTTTTTAGTCTGCCATATTATTAGGCCCTCAGAGAACCTTACTATGGTTGAATACCTGCGTACGTTCTGTCTCTGTTTTTGCTTCAGGGTTTCTGCCATTTTTCCTCCTAGTTTTACTTTTGAGTTTTGGTATATGCACTCTAATAGATGATTTCAGAGTTAGAATATTGTTCATATAATCCTAGTTTTTGGATTCTTCAAGAGAGAAATGGTAGCATAATATACTGTGCTAAGTGAAGGTTACTTTTCTTGTGTACTTATATAATCTTTTATACTTGTTTTATTGACATTCAAAGTGCCCATATTTTTATTTCTGATTTAAGATGACGACTGTGTTCTGTTTTTATAGGTACTTTCACTGTTTCTAATCTTGGGATGTTTGGTGTTGATCGGTTTGATGCTATTCTGCCGCCTGGAACTGTAAGCGTTGTATTTTATGCCTTTTTCCCAATTTATTTTCTGTTCGAGTGATAATGCATGTTGTATGTAGGTTATAATATTTGTGCGTTTCTGGTTTCAATTTTCACAGGGAGCAATTATGGCTGTTGGATCATCTCAGCCTACTGTTGTGGCTACTAAAGATGGTCGGATTGGACGGAAGAACCAAATGCAGGTAAGAAATTTGAAAGCTATACTTATGGGTATGATACATAAAAGGGAAACTACGAATTCTAATTCTTGGAACATGCAATTATTTGCAGGTAAATGTTACTGCTGATCATCGTATAATTTATGGCGCTGATCTGGCTTCATTCTTGCAAACCTTGGCCAAGATTATTGAGGACCCCAAAGATCTTACCTTCTAGTCTCGAAACGTCATGTCACCAAATGTTCCCCGCTTGGCTTTCAGAATGTCTGGGATTTTTCTCCGTATGATCTCGTCAGGCATGCTTCTACCGTTGCTAATCATTTAGGTTTGACGGGAGGCTTGTTCAATTCTATATGACGAATAGGAAAACAATTTTGAACATTAATGCATAATGAGTTTTAGTTCCAGTTCATCAAAGGTTCTATCATAAAATGTTGCTGGCCGTTGTTTTTTCTCAGTCGTTTTCGGGTTTTTAGAGTTGGCTATTGCATGAAACTGGTTATCTAGGTTGTAGAAGTATGTATTTGCAACTTAACAAGCATATCCATGATACAAACGTATTGCTACCGAAATCCAATTCGCAAAATGTTTTGAGGACTTCGTATGTATCGTGCCTATTTTCAACTAACATGAAGCAGTGGTACAACAAGCAACGCATTGTTTATATATTCGCGTTCAGTTTATAAATTTTCTACATGTTACATTACTTCCTATAGTTGCCATATATTCTATGGCAAGATAAGCTTTAAACTACATCGAACGACTGATATTCTAGTTGTAGGAACTGACCGAAGCTGCGGGTTCGTCCCATCTTATGCATGGAACTTGTATTCATATAGCGACTTTGAATCATGCCGTGTTACTTTATCTTGCATTGAGGAGCCTCGTAAGCACACTCTTCATTCTTGGCCTTGCTTCGGGTGATACGCTAACACAAGCAAGAGCGATTTTCAGGACCGCAAGCATCTGGTTTCGGACAGCAGTTGATGTTCTGCTGATACTGTAATCAAGAATGTGATCCCTTTTATCTTGCTGCGCTGAGTTACTCAAGACCCACTTGGCCAACTCAATCCCCTCACTAACTGCTGGCTTTCCCGTCAGCAACTCCAGCAGAACGACCCCGAAGCTGTAGATACTCCCGGCCATTGTCACAACCATAGTGTATGCATACTCTGCCACCACAGAACAGAGACAAATATTCAGACACAATTAGTTCCAAATCCAGCAAGTTACTTAAATAAGCGGTATACTGACAAGTCGGGGATGACTCTGAGAAACAATATTATGTTACTGCAAGGTGAAGAAATCACAGAACTGCTTACCTGGAGGAATGTAGCCAGAAGAACCAGCAATAGTAGAAAGGCTTCCGGTGCTCTTTGAAGGGTCGATCACCTTCAGGAGCTCAGCTTCTGCAATCAAAGGCTCCTTGAGGGACTTGAGCAAAATGCTTTTGCTTGACAAGTCAAGGAGGAGTATTGGACTTGGAGTGCACCCATGAAGAAAAGAAAGACCCTGCGCTACTCCAACTGCAATACTATACCGGCTCCCCCAATCCATGTCATCGCCCGAGATACCATGAAGAGCATCAAAAAGGGTTCCTTTTGGAGCAAATTCATAGAACAGATTAGCACTGTCACCAGTCAAGACATAGGCCAGAGGATTCATGACATTGGAATTGCTTAGTTTCCCGAAGACCTCTAAATCTTGGGCAAACCTATCGTGGCTGCCCAGTTGGAATATCTTGTCACTCCAGTTGAGCTTCTTGACAAAGTAGCTTGCTCCAGACGGCATGATGGCTTTGTAGTAAGTTGAAAACCTAGTCTTCAGCACAACGTTTGACTGGTCGGAAACTACTTCCATCGCTCTAGTGAAATCGATGTTTGATCTATGAATACCATTTGCAGTTAATAGATTGCCCTGGAGGACCTCAGGAACAGCAAGTTCTTCCTCTGTTTGCACTTGTTCATCATTAACCCTGTAATTTTGCCGTGATATTGATACGGCAACAATGGAGATCGCTCCAAAAGCAACCACAGCTGCTGCTACAACGGCAAGAACAATTGTCGCTGCATATGATTTTTTCTTCTTCTCCAATTGGGGTGGAGTGTTTATTGTTGTTCTGTTTATCAAAGCCTTGTTCCCACTTGTGTCCACCATGACCCAAGAATGGAACTCCGGAATTTCTCCAGAGAGCTCATTGTTAGAAAGTGACAACTGTGTCAAGGTTCCCAATCTAGTCAAAAAATCAGGTATCTCACCTGAGAATTTGTTATTTGAGAGATCCAGAATTTCTAATCCACGGAGCCTCCAAAGAGTTTCCGGAATAGGTCCTTGAAAAAGATTGCTGCTGAGATTCAAAGCAATCTGCAAACTCATCGGCATGATTGGAATGTCACCACTTAACTGATTTTCTCCAAGTTGGAGTTCCATCAGAGAATCCATGGAGGCAATACCGACGGGAATGGAACCGCTGAGCTTGTTGCCTTGTAAGTTCATGTTAATAAGATTCTGCATGTTTGAAACTGAAGGTGGTATTGAGCCGTTGAGAGAATTCCAGCTGATATTAAGAATGGACAACTTGGGTAGTTGAGTAATTTGAAATGGAATTGCCCCACTCAAATTGTTCGATTGAAGTCTCAAGACCTCAAGACTGCTAAGGTTACCCAACTTCACCGGCAAAGCCCCAGACAGTTGATTCTGAGCCAAATTCAGCAGCGCCAATTTCCGGCAATCACCCAATTCAGGAGGAATTGATCCAGTCAAGTTATTGTTTTCCATCTCCAAGTAGGTCAAGTTTTCATGTGTTGCAATTGCTGCAGAAGGTATCTTCCCATCAAGCGAATTGCTTCCCAGTCTCAGCCTGACCAAGCTCGGAGACAGAGCTTCAGGTACCGGTCCCTCTAATCTATTATTCGACAAATCCACAGTCTGCAGATTCCTTTCCGACAAGAGGTCCGATGGAATCGACCCATTCAATTTATTATAACTGAGATCCAAGTTTTTCAAATGCTCCGTAATGCCACCAGGAATCGTCTCATTGAAATCGTTAGAATTTGCTGCAAATCTCCAAAGGCTTGTGATATTGGAAATGCTTAGTGGGATTCCGCCGGATAACTTATTGGCCGAAAGAATCAAAACCTCCAACTTGGAGAGCTCTCCGATCCAAGCAGGAATACTCCCGGTAAGCCGATTTACACTAAGATCAATGAGAGTCAAATTCTTATATCCCACAAGTTCAGCAGGGATAGGACCATCAAACGTATTCACAGAAAGCTCAAGCTCCTCCAAAACCTTGGACTTTCCGAGACGGGTTGGAACATGCCCAGCAAAATGGTTGAAGGTAAGGTTCAAGCTTCTGAGCTTGACCAACCCGTCCAACTCGGAGCCAATGCTTCCACTCAAGTTATTCCGAGCAAAGTCCAGAGCTTCCAAACCCGAAAACCCAACAAACTCGGGCAGAGGACCCACCAAATTATTCAGACTAAAATTGAGCAGCTTTAACTCACCTAGCTTTCCACAAGCTGAGATAAACCCAGGCGGAATTGTGGTCAGACGGTTG